GTGGTGTTTTTTGTTCCAGCAAACAATGAGTTCTCTTAGTAACAACGTACTCAAATACACGCCCTCCCCACATATGTGAAGCCCACCATGGGAGGGGGCCATTTATTGGGTTTTCAAGGGCTCTTCAGCAGGAACCAGAGGGAAGGCAGTGATGTGGGAAAGGCCCGCAAGGTTGGATGTTTTTCCATTTGCAATCAACCTTGAATGTGTCCTTTTCAAAGCGAAGTAGAGCGGTCGGATGCTGGCATGGCTTCTTCTGTGTTCTAGTGGTAAAACAGGTTTGTCCCTCTTTGCTAATCTGCTTCCTCAGATGTGCTTGCTACTACTACTTTAGTTGTACGTTCCTTCTTTTTCTCCTTGTGAGAGATTTTGTTTTCACCTTTCCCAAGGTTACATTCTTTGGAACCTTAGAAGTACAGCACTTTATTAGATGAGAGGGAAAAATTGCCTTTTGTGAATCAGCTGGTGGTGTCGAGCTGGGGTTCTTAAATGGGGGTGACTCTAACCCCTTGGAGACATTTGGTTAGGTCTGGAGACACTTTTGATTGCCAAACCGGGGGTGGGTGGGTCGCGCTCCTGCTGGCATCTCATGGGTAAAGGCCGGCAATGCTAACCTTCCTACAAGGCCCAGGCCACCCCACAACAGAGGATTACACAGTCCAAAATGTCCGAAGTGCCAAAGCTAGGAAATCGTGATTGACAGCAAGTTCTCCCCTGCACCCTACCCCTCCGGCTCACCATGCCCCCAGATCAAGAACTCTGTGACCTGATGCTTACAGGCTCCTAACAGGTAGCTTATGCTTCTTTTCTCTCTCCCTGACAGATTAAAGGAAGGAGAGAATATAAAGGTTGTTTCAGATAAATAACAAAACCTGACCATTTCACAACAAATGAGAGACTGTGAATCTTACATGAACGGAAATTACATGAAAGCCATGGACGCTCGCAGACATTTTCTCACATCGTGTTATCACATGCACATTTTTAAAGAAAATGAACTAGGAAATGATAGTAAATGCAAGAGTAAAACTGGCTTTGTGAAACTCATTTTGCCACTTGGCTGTGGTCATTTAAAAAGCCGGAAATCTGCAGTCCTGTCCAGGCAACCGCTGTGCAGACAGGAAGATGGCACCCAGGAAGGGGATGACTTGGCTGTGGTCACCAGCCATTTGGGGGCCCGGGACTTGAGTGGAGCTCATTACCAAGGCAGTGCCTTGGCCAGGACCAGGTGCTCGGCCGGGGTGTTAAGAAGAGATCAAGGCGTGGAAGAGACACTCCCACGGCCAGGAGCAGGCACCATCCCTTCCCTTCTCATGGCCGGCCATGAGGACGTGTCCCCTGACAGGAGACTAGAGGGCCGGCGCCCAGATGTCCCACTCCAACCCAACCCCCGAGACCTGTCTTTTCAGTCCTCAGTACTTCCCCAAACACAATGAGGGGAGGAGCTGACGCTGGTCATGGCCTCTCCCAGAGACTTAATTTTCTGGCTCAATCTACCAACTGAAGCACCAGAGCAGAGCATGACACCTTGGGGAACTTCCTGACCAATGTCTTCCGTTCCCATCTAGGCCAGATAAGATGCCGAGTTGCTGATTCTAAATTTCTGAAAACTCACTTGAGGTGTGCCCCTAATTTTGAAGTGCTCATTTGTAGTCTATAGAAAGAAATTAACTTCAAGGTCACTTGAGGAGCTCTTGGGAAAAAAGGTCCCAGAGCCAAGCTGCGTGGATCCTCACCTCCCCCCAACCACAGCAGCTACTGCTACCGTTCAAGAGACCTGCTGAAAGAGGGCAGGAAAGTCATCATTTAGAAAGGGATCTTAGAAAATACCCTTTGTTCCAAGAATCAGTTAAACTTCTGTTTTTTAACTTCCATGGCTCTTTAGTTGAGCCAATATGCTCAAAAACTGTAGACAATACATTTCTATGAACTGAGGTTCCCCTCAGCTCATTTTCCATCCTGGTTAAAAGCAGCCCCATATACGGTTAGTAGTTTCATTAGATCAGGAGTAAAAGATGGTTGACTCCTGTGCTTAGGGTTACTTTCCAGGCTAAGAAAGGCAAACATCCCCCCACCAGTACCCCATGTTTCATGTGGTGGCAATGAGAAGGGGCAGGCAAGGCACGAAGTGGCCTACGATGACACGTGTGACTGCCCAGCTTCTAATGCCATTTGTCCTCCAGTGCTCTTCCCGTAAGCCTGGGAGCACGTGGCAGCCCTCTCCCGAAGAGCAGGCCTGTGTATTCATGCCACGGGTGACACAGGCACCTGGAAGCCAGGGACTGGCATTCAGAAGGCTGACACCCACTGACCTGACATGCAACACCCTGGTGAGCAACATCAGCCTGGGCGCCATGCTCAGAAATCCTGACCCACGGATCAGATGTTCTAGGAACACAGCTAAAACCCAGAAGCAACACAGCTGATACTGGTACTGAGCTACCTAGAGAGAATAACTAAAACTAAAACTCCCAGTGGGACCACACAAGCCCGCCCACACACAGAGAAGGGAGGAAGGAAGGGCCCAGGGGGGTGACAGCAAAGAAGGTGAAGCAGCTACTGGATGGAGGGCCCCAATTCATGGCAGGACAGGCGTCTCACACAGCTGAGCATACTCTGGTGGGATGCATCAAGAACACACTGCTCTGACAACAAAAGAGTGCTGCAGCGCACTGGATGAGCAGGGCGGAAGCAGCCGGAGCCTCCGCTTCAACGAGCTGTGGAAACGCTGTGGCAACAAGACAAGGTGCAGCAGGCCCCCATCAAAAGGGACATTACGTATGGGCTTTCAGGGGAAAGGTCCGTCCAAGGCAAGGGGAGCCTTTCCGTACACCTTGGAAACGTGGGGGAACTACACCCCCTGCTCTTGCTGGAGAGCCCCGTCGTCCCTGGGGCTGAAGTCTCGGTCCCAGGTCCCAGCACCCTGAACAAAGAGCAGCAGGGCCATAACTCACACTGCTCCTTGCCAGTAAAGTCACTCCAGAGCCCTTTCCCACCGGCATGCCACAGAAACGGCCTGCCACACTCCAGTAGATTCGGCCAACTTTCCAACGACTGCTATTTAGGACATATTTAAAAGCTCTGATAATGACTGAAAGGGACGGTCCTTACTTGTTTAGGTCAAGGAGAAGCACCGAGAATAAAGTCAGAATCCTCAAGACCTTACCATCAAATAATAATTCTTTCTCCCATGAAATGTTCTGTCACTTAGAATAAAGGCAGATGGTTATTCAACTAAATCCCTGCTAATCAATGTCACAAGAAATCACACTTAACTAATAAAGTTTCTAGAAAACAGCCTAGTTGGTCAAAACGCTGTTGCTTTTCCGGTTCTGAGTCACATTTCAAGGAAACTTCACAGTGAGGCTAGCTGTCAGGGTAACTAACTTCACACCAGGACCTCAGAGAACTTGGGGAGGGGGCAGGAGGCACACTGTTAGGAAAAATCCCAACTGCACACCACAGCCTCAAGGCCCTCCTCCATCTGGCCCCCGCCCACCCCTGAGCTCAACCCGGCAGGTCCCAGGGCAGGGGTTGACAAACTCCAGAGAAAGCAGGCCAGATCAGCCTGCAGCAAGGAGTGCTGTGTAATTTTTTTTTTTTTTTTGAGAGTTTGGCGGAGGGGTGGGGGGGACAGGGTCCTGCGCCTCACAACTTCTGGGCACAGAGTGACAGGTGCCCGGCGCCTGCTCTGATCCGCAGCCTGTCACAGGGGCCTGGCATTCCAGAAGAATTCAGCTCTGATTAAAACATAACCTCATGCCTATAAATAAAAACGTCTTTTAAACACTAATTAAAAATAACAGGCTGGCCTTTGGAAACTCCCATAAACAGAAATATAAGAGTTGAACTAAAGAGCAACAGTTGCCTGTTTGATCTATGCTCAGGTGGGTAAAAAGCCACATGTGTCTTCTCTGAAGTTTTTCCATTAACTCCTGAATTTATGGGGCTTTAAAATGCATAACAATGTCCATCTTACCTTTTAATCTAATAATGTCATAGTGAGCTTTTCCCAATTTACTCCATTTTAGTGACTGTGTAATTAGTTTTCATATTTTAGTTAACCCAACATATCCAAAATATCATTTTGACACTGTAATCCATAAGAAGAAATTATGAGATAATTATGAGATAATGATAACCATGTCATCAATGTCCACGGTGCTGTTCACACTCCCGGCGCATCTCAGCGCACCACAGCCACAGATCAAGCACTCAACGGCCCGTGTGCATACAGGCTGCCGCTGGGCGCTGGACAGGTCTCAAATGCTCAGTTATTTCAACCGAACACAAACCGAACTCACTTGCATTTTAGGAGTTTTATATAAAAGAGTTTTTCTCGTTTTGACTGTGTGCTTGTTTTTTTTACTTCAGATGACTTAATACAATAAATATTTACTATTTTAGGTATATAAAAACTCCTGGAATTCATCTTAGGATTCACACCACATTCTTCACAATAAGCTAAAAGATATTACGAACCACATCATATTGCTTTCCCACAAGCATCCAGTTTTGCTTTTCAAACCACGGCTGTTAGATTTAGTTTTCATTTCCTTTACACATGGCTCCTTTCCTGTCTTAACTGAATGCAACCAAGAAGTTCTGGCACATCTGAGCCAAGTTTCCTTAATGTGCAGCAGGATGGCGCCACCATCGTGCACAAAATGACCCGCCTGAATTTCTAATTCAAAAACCATCCTGTCTGCTCACTCCTTTAGGAGACTTATGTCCGTCTTTATGACTTAAGAAGTAAAAGGGAAAAACTCGGGACCTCAAGATAGCGAGGTGATAACCAGAATCAGAGGCCACCTACTGGAGCAAGCACAACCAGGGGAGCAGTTTACACTCTGCTTAAAGTACCTGCTCTTCATTCAGAAGCACACTGCATGGATGCTAAAGGAAATAGCAGTTTCAGCAGCTTAGGATGCAATGGGACCCTCACTCTTCACCAACAGCAGGGCCCCACTGTATAAACTCCCAAGAGCATTCCTGGTTACCTCTGCATCCTGTTGGGGGAGGTGGTATGTCCTCTCGAGGCTTTGCAGAGTTCGGGGGTTCAGAGTCTTCTGCTCCAAGAGATGCTCCAGAAGCAAAACAAGCTGATCTGGAAGGAGCTAAGGGCAAAACCAAAAAGTCTATGAAAAGGCTAGAGACTTGATCTTGCTAAAACCTCAGAGCTTACACCATATCCCCAAAGACACTGCATTCTGGGGTGTGATTAAGCCATATTCTCCATGGCTTTTCATGTCAGTTCTATAGTTAGAGCAGATCAAAAGATCAGGTATTTAACTTTTTTTTTTTAAGCTTTTATTTATTTATTTGACAGAGAGAGACACAGAGAGAGAGGGAACACAAGCAGGGGGAGCTGCAGGCAGAGGGAGAGGGAGAAACAGACTCCCCGCTGAGCAGGATTCCCGATGCAGGGCTCGATCCCAGGACCCTGGGACCATGACCCGAGCCCAAGGCAGATGCTTCAACGACTGAGCCACCCAGACGCCCCCAGGTATTTATCTTTTTATTTTTAGGTTGTACAGTGTGATTTTTTTTAAGGTGTGCAACATGATGATTTAATATACATATGCACTGTGAAATGATAAAACCTGTCCTTATCTTTATAAAACATTATCACGGTTCATTAGATTTCTTTCTTTGCGACATGTAAATGTCAAAGAAAGTCATTTAACCCAGATAAAGATTCAAGAAACCATCTGATCTTAAGTGAACACATGGAAAAGAAATAAGAAGCAGTTTTCAGATTTCCCGTAGCACCTAAACCTTGCAAATGTACAACCAAGAAATAAAAGGCTCATAATGAAACAAGAATCGTGTCTTACAATCCCTCCATTATAAAAATTGTAAGTTTATTATTCTATTAAAATGACTGTACATGTGATTTTATACGTGTATGTATAATCTCTCTCTCTCATACACACAACACAATGCACAAGGTCACTCTTATTCCTGAGTTTTCATACAGTCAAAAAATGGTGTTTATCATTTAAAGGCAAAGAGAGGAAGATGTTTTCATAGGACATAAAAACAATGAAAATTTATGAGCAAACAATATTTGTGAAATCCAAGAACTTAAAATGTCTTATTCACTACAGTACTGCACGTAATGCCTGGATCAGCCCCAACCACAGGGCAGTGCTCAAATAAACTATAAATGGAGGAAAAACTAAATATAAGATCCATCTTGTAGGAACTGAAAAATATTTATTCTGAAATCAAGATTTTAACATTATGACTCTGAATTTCACTATTCTCTACATTTAGCTTCTCTCCATCCCTGCTTATGACCAGATAATCCCTGTCAGCTAACTCGATTTTACAAGTCTAGAAGTCAATGCTCAATCAAAAGAATATTCATACTACCCACCTGGATTTTAATCCCCACTCTGTTACTTTAAAAGAAAATTTAAAAATCATTGGCTTCTCTTGCTACCTCTCTACCTTTTTGCCCCTTAGTGCGCACTCTGCCCCCCCACTCCCCAAAACACACTCGGAGGAAAAAAACTGAGTGGACAGCATGCACAATATTCACCAGGCAATTTCATAGTAAAAGCATTTCTTGTATTTTCTCACATCACCCTTCTAAGTGATAAAACCCCCACTTTCCTACAAACATGGATGTACATCACTTGATTCCTGGGCATTTTTATAACATCACTTCGTTCCACCTTAAGAATCAATGCTGTGGATCCTCTCTCAGGCTGACAGGATTGAAACAAGGTGCCTTCAGCAAAAATAGAGGGTTACAACCAGCACTGACCCGTGAGGTCCTATGGAAGGACTCAAAGGATAGCTAACACTTCATTCACTTTCATTATAAGTCATGTGCCTTTCAGATGTTTGAAGATATCAAATCACTACATAACAACCAATAACAAAAATGACAGTTTTTCATTTCTTAATAGTTTCAGACACATGAGGCTTTTATATTTTCAAAAATTTGCTGTTTATAAAACAGCCCAAATCCAGGGCCAGCAGCCTCTAGGGAGCCTCCTCACCAGTTCATACCACAAGCAATGTGCTCAGGCCCTGCCTGGCACCCAGGCTTCCTCAGCCCTCCTTCCTACCCACAGCATCCTGCAGCCTCCCTCTCTGGATCTTTCTTTCTTGCCTTCCAAGAGGGGACTTTCCCTGGTGGAGGCTAATCCTTCAGCTCTGGCTCTGAGTACACCCCTCAGGTCCCCTTAGGTCACTCCCCAATTGTCCTCCTGCACTTGAACCCTCTTCACAGGGCTGGCCTTCCTCCCCCATCGCAGTCTCTCACCCCCCCACCCCCACTACTGCCCTTTACAAAGTGTGTCCCAACGGCCCTCACCAGATGGTGGCCTGGCTTGGCTTCTGCCTCTGCAGGGGCTGTGGAGGGGAGAGCCCCAGACTGAGTCAGGGGTCCATCCAGCCCTACACCCTGACGGGCACTCTCAAAACTGGTCTCCAGCATTTCTATAGCTAACCACCCCTAGGAGCAACAGCTTGATGTCCAGGCCACTCTGGATGCAGGAAGACAGCTTCTGGGGAAGGGCTCACCTGACAGAGCACAGAACACCTACCAGCTGGGGGTGTGGGCCCTGCTGGCTAAACACAGCAGGAACCAGCCCTGCCAATTTGCAGAGTTACAGGAAAGGAAGGAGCAGGAAGGAAAGCATCTCCCTATTATGCATATGCACTTACAAAGAGGCCTATTGTTACAACTCAAGTTTGGGATTTGGTTTAAACTAGAGAGACCCATGGAGGAAAGAAGACCTTGAGTAAAATGTTTCGCTTGGTCCTTAACTCACCCCAACTGGGTTTAACCAACAAACACAACTCCAGCTTGAAACTGAAGAATTACTAGCTTGTGAACCGATCAAGATATCTGGATTCATACTTTTATATCCTGAAGTTTTCTTGTGAACAGAAAGGTCACACATCCTCACAGAGAAACAAAACCAAAGGATCACTGAAGGCCTTTGTCCTCTTCAAATTTTCCACGATGCAAAAATATTTAAAGCCAAGCCCCCTGCCTGAAGATGGACAGCGGAGATGGATGGGAGGGGGTCAAACCTTAGGGCTCTCTAACATGTTTCAGGTCCTCTCAATGGAGACAGGCAGAGAGAGCAGGCCGCACGCCCCGCCAGGGAGCCCCCCCACCCAGACAGCGCTGCTGGAGAGTCGGCCTGTTGAGAGTGGGCAGAAGGCAACGGGCAGAAGGCAACGAGGGCCCACACAGAGACCTGAGACCATTTCTCTGGAACGAACGCCAGGAGTTCTGCTAGTCCTGGCCTTCAGAGCGGACTGGTAGAAATGACTCTCCCTTAGTAAACAACCTGTAGCCATCTTGGCTTCCAACTGCGGCTCTTCTAATTCACCAGGAAAAATGCAGTTTCTAAACAATGAGGAAAGTAGAGAAAATCAGCGATCAAATGCTATTTTAGTATACAGACAAGAAAACTGATTATCTTTCATTCACAAATAAGTAAACATTACATAATTTTTTACATATTACAGACCCCCCGAAAGGAGGATATGAAAGCAAAAATGCGGTAAGTAGCTCACTTTAATACAGTACATTTCTCTTCATAAAATAAACATTTACTCCATGTAAAGCCACCCTACAATGAAAAAGAAGTACTATGTAATAAACCAAAATGTTTGCACAGCAGTGGAGCGAGATCATACACTGGCAAACGTGCTCAAAACGCGGTGCTAGGCACCACCCGTCCTGGCGGCTGGCGCGGCAGCAGTGGGAAACGCTTTGCGGGTCATTCTACTCCCACCCACGGAGAAATCACATTAAATTTCACATGACTTCTAGGCCAACTGTGTTTTAATGCAGCAGTACTGAGAGCTTCCGTCACACTGTGGGGTGATTAAGAAAAATAAAGTGCGTGTTTCAGAGCCTTATCTCCTGAGAAAACAGCTCCTCTAAACATTACAAAAGAACCTGCCTTTATTTCTGAGGGTCTAATGGTGCTCACGCTCACAGTTTAACAGTGACAGGAATAGAAGGTCCCTTCCTTTGCACACACAAGGACTTCATGACGGGGTGACTATTTTTCCGCAGGGAAACCACCTCAGTATTTTAAATATTCATCTGCCTCAGAAACTTAGACAAAATAAGACAATGGGGGTGCCAAAGTCATGTGCTTTGTATATAAAAGAGAACTTCACGACACTGTAAAACTTATTTGAATACAAAACATAAAATGCTAAAGGGGGTCAATACAAATGCTATTTGTTAAGGATTTCGAAGTCTGTATTCTTGCTTTAAAGAGGGAGGATTCCGTAGTTGCTAATTACCCAGAAATGTACAAAGAAAAAAGAAGTCTACCTGGTATTTTTCCCAGTCTACTTAAAGAGCTGAGGGAAGCCACACAACTCTGAATGGTTTTGAAGAGTTTCCACACAGGCTCTTGGAAAGAAGATATGAATTTTCCAAACCCACCCTCTTCATCCACAAGCAGCATAAAGCAAACAAACCCTGACTCTTCCAGAAGCCCCTTACCGCCGTCAGAGGGGCACCACTCACTCCCCGCTCCCAGAGGACCACCCACGCAACTGAGCCCCTCCACCATTTCTGCCATTAGCAGGACGCAGAAAAGACCAGCTCACCGCCTAGATCAGAAAATGTCACCAACGCATCCCACCACTGACCTTGCAAAGGCAGGAACCGACACAAGGATCCCGGCGCCACCACTGCCTGCACCCCTTCAAAAGGAAGGCACCTCCCCTCGTGGCCCAGCTGGCCCGCTGCAGCGGCACACACACGGAGGAAGTCTCCCCGAGAGGCTCCCAGACAGGGAGTGAGCCTGGGACTAAGGCAGCCACCGACTGACAGTGGCGTGAGTTCTATTATTACCCCATTATCACTCTGGATCTGTGCCTAAATGAAGCATGCTTCCTCCCTGCTGCCATTTCCTTTTATCCTGGCTGGAGACTAAAAGCGGATCAATGGGGGCAATACATATGATGTCACTTCAATTTACAGCAACAGCCTCCCTCCTTCAGTCTGTCTGAAATACACAGAAAGATCAATTCTTCCCAAAAATGGTTAAAAAATGCTTAGGGAGCATTCTTCTTCCAGAAAAGCATTCTCTGCTATATTTGTCTATGTTACTACGGCAGG